ACCTACCCCTTCAAAGTTAGCTTATTTTACAATAAACCCACTAAGCAAGAAACGTTTAAATAACGTTGGTCAACGTTAGCAGAGAGTATCAAAATGAACGTTACTTTGTATTGTTATACTGACGTTCATACAATTCAGTAAATTAATGGTGTTTTCGAACACATTGCCAGTGTGTTGTGTCAACGTTGATAATATAACGTTTTTTCGGAAACGTTGAGTAACTGTTAATAGTGTAGTGGTACAGCAATGTTATCCATTGCTGCGTTAGGAGAACGAATTAATTACAACGTTAAATCTTGTGCCATTAAGGCAACGTTAAATGTTATAAGTACGTGAACGTTTCATATGACTACGTTAAGATAACAACACAGAATTTCTGTGACAGAACATAACCTCAAAGCGCAGTCTATCGTTAGCGTGCATAATAGATGCAGTGCAATTTTTACTAAAATAATTAATGGGAAGTTCAATCAGTGTTATTGGTTTTTACGTTTCAAATCTAGATGTGGAAATTTTGGTAGGTAAGTGCCTAAATATGTATATATTAAAAACTATTGTAAACACTTTGCCTCTGTGGTTTGCCGGCTCGTGCAGTAACAAAATGGCGATGGCGTCTCAATCTCAATTAATTTGCTTTAACATAAATGTTTTAATAATTATCTTTATATTATATATCTTTATATTCTTTATTTATAAGGTTCATTCAAAGATAATTATTAACACTACAATTTATGTTAAAGCAAATTAATTGAGATTGCAAATTATAATTTGATATTTATAGTCATATACCTATATTTACAAAAATTTATATTCCAGCGATTTTAAATAGGTATTTCATTCTTTATTTTTAACGGGTTTAGGTACTTTTTCATAAAAAAATAGTTTAAAACAATTAAATAGGTACCTGTTTAACCTTATTAGGTATTTTGGGTAATATTTTCTTATCAGTGGTACCATTGAGTAAAGTGTTTACTCAATGGTGGTACCTACTATGCAAAGCACCTTTACTTAATTTGTTTTAACTTGCATCAAGTCTGAAATTGCTATGTTTAGTTTTAGATCTCAGCTTATTATCGTTACCAGGAAGGAGTTAGTTTAAGCCAAAATTAACATACATTTTTTATCCAAAAGCAACAAAGGCATGGGCAAGGGCAAGGACAAAAACAAGTGCAACAACAACAAAGTCATTCAACAGCAGGTGTGTACCTATATATAATATAAGCTAATATATATTAATATATTTAAGCTAATATATATTATATTTAAGCTAATATATATTATACTTAGTTAAATTTAACTGAATTGTTTAATAAGGTGGATGTAGCCACTGGCTACTAGCCAGCATTTAATGTAATGTAACTTAATGCAGGCGTGTTGGTGTTTTTATACCAATATTGGCATTATTTTTATTTCACTGCGTCCGACGTTTATTATCAAAATTAAGATTGCGATTAAACGCATCTATACTTCTGTCAATGGTTACGAACGCCTGACAGTGAAAATCCGGGACAATTTTATTGGACTAAAAAGGCACTATTTTCAAAAAGATTTACTATCCTAGGTTAGGTTTGTCAGGAGCAACCTCGTAAATATATGTAAATGCGCCAAACCTAGGTTGGTGGCAGCTGCCACCTTTCGCCCTCGACATCAGCGATTTTGACCAAACTTGGAATGTTTGGTCAAAATCGCTGATGTCGAGGGCGACAGGTGGCAGCTGTTCAGTTGTATAATACAACTTGTATTATACAACTTGTATATTTGTATATATACCGGACATATTGACATTTTTAATTTTAATTTAGATTTGTTTATTTCTGTTAGGTATACCTCGTGGCGTCATGGATCTAAAATTATTGTTTTTGTCAGCTTAAGCTAAATTTCTTTTTTTTTGCAGGTGGTGTTGAAACTAGCTATCCGGAAGAATCTGCTATGGAGTGGTTTCGTCAAGGCCATCAACGGGTTTTGAAAAAATTATAAAAGAAGTTTTTTACAAATAATGTCGAAAGAAGTAAATATAACAAGTTCTTTTTAAATCTATATCTTTGTTTGTCTTTCCCGCCAAGAATTGGCATTTAGAGCTGCGTTAATAAAACAATTAATTTCAACGTTTTATTAACGTTCATTTAAAAACAGTAAATTAACGTTTAACTTTAACGTTACGCCAACGCATCAGTTAATAGCACCTGTACGGCACGGTTTAACGTTGTTTCAACGTTGACGTTGCAATGTAACATTTAAACGTTCATGAGGCGGACATTAACCGTTGTTGTAATGTTTAAGTGACGTTAATGTTACCCCCCAGTTAACGTTACAGCGTTACTGTTAACATCGCTGCAACGTTCGCCCAACAGTATTTTGCTTAGTGGGAAGGTAATTTTGCATATTAGTTTACTTAAAACATATATAAACTTTCAAAATAAATATCTAGTAGCTTTACACATAGTAATAAGTGTTTTTTTTTCACAGAACTACGCATTTAACACGCGAGTAAAAACGACAACACTCAGTCAAGTCGCCATTCTTTGTTAACCAATTTGATTTCGGTAAAGAAGGGATGTGTATTTTAGTGGAAAAGAGTAATGCTCTCGCACTTACCAGAGGGTGCCACCGCAGTTTGAATAGTTTTTTTTTTTTAAACCCAATTGGTGCCCTTTCCCCAAAAGCGCACTTACCCCACTTCACCCTAATAAATAATACAGTAATATTTAAATATTTTTACATTTTTTACGTTTAGTAAACAGCCAGGAGATTTCGTTACTTGTGACCATTCTTAAACAAGAGTAGGAATATTCTCGCACAGTATTGCAGAAAAACATCCTTTCTATGATTAAAAATTTCACTAGAATGTTACAGTAACATTGTTACTATTCTTAAGTAGTTGTAGAGAATAGTTATTTGTTTTACAAGTTTTGACGACTTTTTCATGCGAGTTTTTAAGTTGCTCACGAGGCCGTTAGGCCGAGTGTGCATTAACACGAGCTTGAAGAAAGCTCACAAGTATAACACAATGTTTTTTCTACGATCCTTTTATTTTTTATTATTTTTAAATACAAAACAAAATAACCTAAAAAAGTGTTTGACAGCTGAATGCAAACGATGCTGTCAATTTCTTTTCACACAGACCTGTCACTTTTCACACAGAAATGTCACTTTACATTCGTGTTTTGCCTTGCCAATGAAAAGATTCATTTTCTAAGCAATGATGCAATCATGAAAAGTGACTTTTACATAGTGGTCGTAGAAAAAGATATTTTTGTATGGGTACCATCCCATATTGATAAAAGGCAAACCGCAGCCCGTGCAGTTACCACATCATGATACAGCATTAAACAAAAATAACAGCAGCTGATTTAAATGGATATATCATGCAAAAAACAATGAATTCTAATATAGGGCAACGTATTTGGGAGCAAGAAAAAATAGGGTCCCCTATTTTACCTTTGACTTTTAACAATCACAAAAAGCATTTTTATTCAAGAAAACATGCGTTTTACCCACATAAGGATACAGGGTTTTTCTACTCAAAATGGATATTGTAATTATTATTATTATTATTATCTATTATAATATAGATCTATATATAGATCGAGACTAAAACAAATATTTTTCATTTGAGCTCTTCTTTTCTGATTATTGAACTAGGTATTTTTGTTTTAATATAAACTTTTTTGTGTTGTCAGTTTAATAACTACAATTTATGTTAAAACATTTTAAATACGGTCATTAATAAGGAAGATTTAAAAATATTTTAACACAAAAATGTATAGAATATTTTATCTCAATGGGTGAACAACTTTCTTTTATTTTTTTACAGGGCCCTGGCTTTCCATACCTTAATAGCTCATATACCGATTTTTGAGACATGATTTTCGTAACAAAATTTATTCCTTTTCACGTCATAAAATCAAATTTAAAAAATTGTTTTTTGTTTGATTACAAAATGGGGTTACAAACTTTTAAATATTTAATATAAATATAAGTAGCCTCTTGATTTATAGATTTTTATTTTGCATACTTTTTTATTATTTGGATTATAAGGAATATTCCGATTGTTAAGAATTTTGTTGGTATATAATGACCATATATGGTCATTTAACGTTCTGATTACAAGTAGGTAATCGTGTAAAAGTATTGTTATTCGTCGATTTGTATCTAAAGGACCATATCAAATATTTTTGAAAACAAGTTTTTGATTTAAATGCTAAAAAAAAATCTCTTTATTTTTGTTATTTTAAAGTTAAGATAATTTAAAGTTTTTCTTTTGACATAAACTGTCAAAATCAATTGTAAGCTGGCTGTAGTTGTCTTGTTTATTTTGTTTTCAACGGTTTGAGATGTTTGATAAATTGGCATAGCCTATAGGTAAGCATAGGTAATAAATAAACAAACTTGTTAAGTTTTTAAACTTAAAAAGTGCTTGTAATTTTTTTTACTCATAATATAGGTACCGCTGTATCCCTTGGGGATAGTGAGCCAATTTCAGGACATGCTTTTTATTTACTTTTACTGAAATAATATTTGGTTTACTTGGGGTTTTGGAAACATTCGTAAAATAAAAAATATATATAGAAAAACGTTTAATATACTTAACTGTATCAATTATTTATATAACAACATCTCAAATAAACTGAATATAAATTAATTGAATTAATTTAGCATTTATACAATACAAAATTAATAACAAATAAGAATAACAAAAATTAAAAAAAAGCAGATACATTTAAATAAATAATAAAAAAATATGGAATGTAACATAAAAAATTACATCGATGTTTTTATCCAATAGTTTCGATGTACAAACTAATAAATGCAAGAGACAGTAACACCAGTTTAAAAGTAGGCAAATACTCTTTGTGATGTTCTCAACTGGTAATCAATACATACACTCTTACATTGGGAATTACCTAATTTACATCTATTTAAGTATAAAAGGTAAAAATAATGGTATTTGCCTATAGAAAGACTGTTAAAAATCTAAATATTAAGTTTTCTCAGTCATTTTATAATTCGTCATGTTTGGGTCCAGAGAACTCATCATGGGAAATGTAGCCGTTCTTGTCTTTGTCTTCGTGTTGGAATATTTCCTCCACAAGTTTATCATGATCGGCTAACATGTTTTTTACTTCCTCGCTTTGGGCCTGTCCATCAGCATCTACCATTTGTTTTTTAAGGTATTCGCTTACCTAAAAGAAGAATTTGGTTAATAAAAGTTTACTTTAGTACATTTGATTCATATTATTGCATATTTTAAATTAAACGGACGTTGGAACACCCATACTCCACAAAAGGATTTGGGGAACTTTTTTTACAAATAACAGCAAATAGGTAAATTATGAAATTTGCATACGTAACGGTTTGTTTCAGAAATATTTTTTTTTCAATTACAAGGTGCTTTTTTGAATTAAATTTTATTTTAGGATTAAAACAAATTTCTAATGATGCGTCATGAAAAGATTAAATTTGTAAATTATACCAAAAATGATGATTTAAAGGTTAGATGTTTTAAACAACCTGTCATAATTATGACAGGTTGTTTAAATCATCATTTTTTAAAATACATAATACGTATTTATTACAGAATTATAATAATAATTTGAGTTGTTTCCATACAACTAATAGATGTTGTTATTGTCGAGTTATTTAAACTTTAATTAATTACCTACTCGAAAACTACATGTCATAAAGATATCTTATATTTATCGATCGCGTATTTTTATATAAATTCAAAAAACAAAATAATTTTCTGAAATTTATTTTTAAAAGAAACAATGTTTGACCTCTAAAGCAGCCTATAATAATTATAGTTTACAGCAATTTATATATTGGACATATAGCAGTCAATTTAGGTAGGTATACGTAAAATTGTTTGCTGAATCCGAAAAGTTAAAAGTTATAAAAGTAGAAAAGTTTTTAAGATATAGTCACTTTTCCTTATAATATGTAATTAAATATCTGGGATGCAAATTGATGTGGACTGCAGTTATTAATGGCTGCTTTTTTGCTAAGACAATTAGTCATTTTTGACTAAATCATTTCAAGAGAGAAATTATATACTTAAAAAAAGTCATGTTGAGTGGGTAAAAGGCATATTGGATAAGTCAAAAAAACAAATTTCAGTAGAGACGTATTCACGTTAATTCAAGAAATATATTATGGTTTGCCAGCACATGCCATAATATGCATATTATGGTAGCAAAAGCGTATACCCGTTAAACATAAATATATTCCTGAATTAAAGTGAATACGTTTAAAGCTCTACTAAAAAATTACCTTTATTACTTATTCCCTTTACCTACAGAAATAAGGGGACTTCTTTTTCGATTCGAAAAAAGTTGAAAAAATATCGCTTCATTATTAAAGCTTACTGTGTCGAAATAAAAGCCCCAGAAAGTTGTTTATCGTTTGCAGGTAGCGTTCTGAATTCACGGTAACAGGCCGTCCCTGATGGTCTTAGAAAAATTAGGGCCGATAATTCCGTTGACTTAAACGTCACCTTTGGTAAATGCATTAGGTCTTTTGATTCTCTTGCGGGTTTACATCACACCAATATCGCAAATTTTGTTTATTTACATTATGTAAATTACATAGCCCTGGAGGTGGAAAGGCGCTTCATCGTAATTTTAGATTTTGCTTGCATGAGGTCGTACGTTGTGAGGGACGTCATTTAGCTGACGTTGTCTTTTATAATATGCTAAAGCCGGGTCTACAATTGTCGCAGGTCGCAGATCGCAGAACATAAGCTTGCGCAAAGCACCCAGCAGACAAAAGAACCTTGCTCCATCGCCACGTCGCGGGGTGCTTTGCGCAAGCTTATGTTCTGCGATATGCGACCTGCGACAATTGTAGACCCGGCTTAACGACTGATATTTATTTTGTAATTTCAATCATTTTAAAAAATAAAAAGTTATTTTTAGTTTAAAATCGTATTAATATAAATAAAAACATATGATATAAAATTAATTAATTATTAATTAATATAAATAAAAATAAAAACATATGAAAAAACTTTATAGGTAAGAAAAAAAATTAATTAATATTTTTTAAATTTAATATTTCATATTTTGATACGTATCACCATAAAAAAAAGAATATACCGGCATACCGATCATGACGTTCTGTCATACATTTTCAAAACAAGTATTTTGGAAAACGACCATAGCCTATTGACATGTGGTAACTAGTCCAATATCTACATAGTAATCTTGATAAACGCAAAAATTAGAAAATTACTCTTTCTAAGGCCGCAAGTATGTCATAGCTGTGATAAACGATAATAGCGTCGTCGCTATCGTTACTAGCGATGCAGTAGCGTGCCGTATAGGGGGCCAGGGAGAGCGTGAATAAAATCTAAACGTAAATTACTCGCATCGAACACAAAATGTTTTACAATTAAATATTGAAACATTTTGATTTTTTCGAATCCCATTTATAAAAAATATTTTTACTGAGTTAAAAAGCGCTACAAGGCTTCAAACTGCCGAAGCTTTAGAAATTTTGAGTGTCATTAAGACTTTTGAATTTAAATTTCTTGTGTGCTTTTGAAAACACGTATTAAAGAAAATAAACATTTTGGTTGGTTCCAAAAGGCGAACTAAATTTTTTTCAATTTTGAGGTTTTTACACAATCAGGCTCAATTTAATATGTTCTTTAAATTTTATCATGGTTTAACTCCAGCTGGTTGTATGTTACACTGAGAAAAAACAATGATTATCTTAATCAAATATATAGTAACTTTTACTAAACATTCTGATTAGTATAGGCACAGCCATATTTACTGTTATGTTAACCATGTTTATATTGTTACAGTTTTATTGTCACTTTAACTATATTTTTGTTGTTGCAACAATGCACAAAACAATAATTTATTTAGTTATAATAATCATATGCAAATACCTTATAACCCTTTATATGGTTAAATATACTATGCGTATGATATGTATAAACTTTCTGTATAGTAAAAACTACAACGACATATTGTTAATAATGTGTGACAACATTATATTGTTATTGTAACCAGATAATCTTATAATTTTAACCATCTAGTGTAGTACTTACAGTTTAGCAATATATGATGGTTGTAATAGCCTAATCAAATATCTAACTTTACTAAATTTTTATAACAAAATGATTAGAGTACATATAACAAAACTAATTTTACGTATATTGTTATTACAACCATAAGTTATAATTAAATGAACCATATTTTGCATAACAAATCTGTATTGTTAGGGATTACAATATATTTTCTTAGAGTGTACAAATTGGAACAATGTAAAATTTTTCGGATCTTCTTTTTCTTTTGTTTATTTTATATTTAAATAAATTTGATTTTATTTGATTTTGATCATATTTTAAGATTTAGTTAAGAAGGTAACACCCGCTAGAGAAAATTTACCAATTACATTCATTTCAACCCCCCCATGGTCGAGAAAATTTAAAAAAAAAACGGGAAGTCAGGAAAATATTGTTTAAAAAAATGTTTCCACCTTGTGTAACAATTTTAACCGGTAAAGTTTTAGATTTTATATCCCAAAATTTTAATGTTCGGTAAATTTTCAGGATAATAAAGAAAACATTAAAAGTCTGATAGATCAATATTTTATAGTTTTCTGTTATTGATGAATATAACATGTTTTGTGGGTTAAGATTAATTCAAAAGGATAACAATAAATATTGTCTTTTAAAGAAAGAATATTTACTATTTCAAATAATTATTTATTTGGTAATGTATACGAAGAAACTTAATTAATAAATAACTGTAATATAGTCTGATATAGTTTTTCCGCCCCTGCGCTTTTATTTGGTAATGTATATGATGAAAGTTATTTATGTCATTAGTCCAAGAAGTGATAAAATTAGCTCTAAATTCCTTGCGGTGGTCAAAAGAGGAGATTCCACTTGCGTGTTACAAACTGCATTCTCGACTGAATTTTTATTAATTTATAAAAATAGTCGGCCTGAATATAGCATTTGCCCTAGTAACGATAACGTCGACGCTTTTATCGTTTATCACAGCTCCAACGTACTCTCGGCCTAAAACTGAATAAAATAGTAAATTAGCAAAGGTAGCATAAAGTTAGTAATTTTGGGTTTATTATTGACAATTGAATATGCAATAATTAGAATCGTATGAACAATTCTACGGAGCAACTATTACAAATCCCCTTACTTCTTCTCTACTTAGCATGTTATCCTTATCGGCATCGATTTCTTTGAAAACATTGGTGGTTGGTGGAGAGTCACCAATGTTTATGAGTTCGACTTCGAAGACCAAGGTGGCGCCACCTGGAATTACGTTTCCTGCTCCACGGTCGCCGTAGCCCAGGCTGGGTGGGATGACGAGTTTACGCTTTTCGCCTACGCACATGTCGAGTAAACCTTGGTCCCATCCTTTGATGACTTGTCCCACGCCCAATTGGAAGCTGAATGGCTGGTCTCGGTCCAAGCTTAAAATATATAAAAATATTAGTTATTGTGTTTGTAACAAATTATAATTATTTATTAAAATTGTTCCACTTTGTATTTTTAAGCTTTAAAGAATTAAGTATCTCCATTTATCCAAAGGGTTTGATAAATAAATAACATTAGTTGGTGACACCAAATTCAGTTTAAAAAAATAAAACATTATATTTTAATTAACAAATAAATACTTTATTACAAACTAAATCATCATTAAAAACTAAAAACAACATAAAAAGTAAATAAGTTCCAATATTAATTGTTAATTTGTTGTTATAATGACATAATTAAGGTTTAAAACTTTCATATTTTTGTGTTTCTTTAGTTGGCAGCACGAAATTTGAATATACTGAAATTATTAATTTCTAAGTCATTAACATGATCCTCTTCTGTTGCTCGAGTTTGGAAATTAATTTTTTTAAGAATTTATGGAAAACACCTGTACAAAAGTGTTATTTTCCAGAAATTTCCCATAGATTATTTTAAAAGTTTTAAACCCGAGAAACAAAATAGTATAATATATCAAAAAAATCATATATTAAATTTTGAAGACATTCTATAAAAACTCTTATATATAAGATACTACCTTAAGCTTTCTGCTTATAAATTGTGTTTATTACTATTACTTTATATGTTTGTACGTTTAAAGCCTGATTTATAGATTGCCTTTCTTCCTTCCTTCCTTCCTCCCGTAGAAGACAAACAATACAATCCCGTACGGGAATCTATAAACGGCACTACAGTTTTCGTATTCTTCATCTTTTACGGGAGGAAGGGAGGAAGGAAGGAAGACAATCTATAAAACAGGCTTAATATATCGTTGACTAATAAAATTCTGCCCTAAATATAAAATGTCGTAAATAAATAGGTATTAATATATCAATAAGGTCTTATAAACATTTAAAAATTTAACATTCTAATAGTTATAACTATAAGAATGTTTAATTTTGAATTAATTATTAAATGTTAATAATATATTTATGTCATAAGGCTCAGATTTATAGATTGCCTTCCTTCCTTCCTTCCTCTCGTAAAAGATAAACAATACAAAAATCGTAGTGCCATTTATAGATTCCCGTACGGCCGTACGGGTTTTTTACAGAGTAGAAGGTGAAAAACTTTACCCGGTTGGTCTTAATTATTTTTACAACCTAGGCGATAATCAATCACTTTATTAGTGCGTGTTGACAATAATAAAGTTGTGCGTAAGTACAAAACTCTAAAATGTCAGATTGGCATGTGTTTTTAATATTATAAATTGGGCTTTTGAATTTGACTTAAATAAGTTGGAAATTCTTTAAAAAAAATCTAAAAAAAAACTTTGTTGGGATAACGTCCAAATATTTTTAAAAAATACTAAGCGTTTTCTAAAATTAGTTGAAAGGAAGATTTTTTCTTATTTTCAAGCAAGGAATCTGTTTTATATTTTTTGAAAAATTATACCTGTATATTCATACAAATAATATTATTTATTTTAAAGAGAATTTGCAACGTGATAGTTTACATCTGGATAATGTTATTTCAAATAAATTATTTGTATAAAAAATTGGTCCAATTCTTTACTAATGGACTACTTGATATAAAAAATATAGAAATGAATGATTTTTAACCAAACTACATTTATGAAACTTGAAAATGTTTTCAAACTGTCAAATAGTTTTTAAATTAAATTTTAGAACTATATAAGTGGAACATTTTTAAACTTAACATTACATTTTAAACTAAATAGAAGTATGCAAATAGCAAATTTTTAACCTTTTTGCAAATTATTTTTTAAATTTATTTTCTAATAACAGTTTAATTTTTGAGCTATCACATATTATCTTAATTCCTGGTATTTACCGACCAGTTTGCTTTATTGCATATCTGGTCAACATTGGCGGTGTTTGCGTAAAATTTGTCTACATCATCAATTAATTTTCTGATTACAATGTCTATTATTCAGCTAAAACATAAATTACGCATATGTTAGGGTTCAAACGCCCTTTTGACATGTTTTCAACATTTATATGAATATTTTAACGTTTATTATGTCATATGGCAAACACAGATCCACTCTCGCATCTGGACATATCATTAAATTAAAAAAAAACGCATTCGCTTTTTTTAAGTAATTTAATATGCTATTATATTAATGCTTTAATAATTTTTTAAATAATGTATAAAACTTAAATGAGTGTTTAATTATTTAAAATTTAATTCATACATAAATAATTTAGTATGCTAAAAAAGTATCTTCTTTTGGTTAATAGTTTAATTTTAATAGCCGGCACAAAAATTGGTCAGTGTCTTAAAGAGGGTTTTTATATCAAGTTTAAAATAAACGTACCTTCGTAAAAATAAAAAAGTGCAGACATTAAAAGTTTTACTGTCCAAGAGTAAAGTATATTTAAACGTACATACTTAAGTAATAAAATAACCACTGGGTAGGTAATAAATATTTTTTTAATGGAAATTAAATTACAAATTTTAATTGTTAATGGTCTGTGGTTAAGGCATTCAAAACATATAGGTAAATTTTTTTTAGTTTAATAATACTAAGGGAGGATTATACTAAATATAAACAATTTAAATTTTTATTTATTTAGTTTTAAAAGTTAGAGAATGTCTGATAGACATGTTTAAAAATTTTGGAAATGCTTTAAAATATTACCTCATAAGATTTCTGAACTTTTTTGTAGTCTAGTTAGTAGGCTTACAATATTGCAAGGTTCACAATGTCGCATACAATTTTTTATTCTTCAATATACAAATCTTATGGTATTGTTTTATTCGATATTTCATACACTATCCTAGCTGTTTTGATATTAAATATGTAAATGTTGGTGTTAATAGTACAATCATAAAGTTACTTTGGACATGTTGAGCTCTATCACGGTCTTATATAAGACCGTGAGCTCTATAGATACCGACAGAAAATTAACCTTAAAGTAACGTGGGACCTTTCGATGTGGTATTTTCAGTATCCTCTGTTGTGTAAAGATCTTCATAATCTTTGAATTAGTTTTTTTATATGTGATGGATTCTGATTGCACTTTGTATTAAATAATAGTTTATTTGGTTTAATTTTCAGAAAAAACGCAAATCTTTTAATTAGTCGCGTCGCGACGTTCTTCGGTTTGACATTTAGAATTTCCTATGGTTTTTACAATTTAATTACATTTAATCTTTTTCTCTGTTTCGTTCATCTTCATTCATTTTATCTATTTTTTATTGTATTTTTATTTATTCTCTTTCTTTGTTTTTTGATTTCGCGCTTACATGTTTCTCTTCTTAAATACTTTTAAGCTTTTTTCAATTCAATATTCTCTCTGGACTGTTTCTGCTCGATAAATATTTGTCCACCCATTTCAAGTCATAACTTATCGTTTCTTTTCCTTACTATGGGTTCTTGTTTTTTTGTGGGTTGCTTCGGGCCATGTAAGATAATTTATAATTTCATTAATTAATTAATAATTTTAAATTAATTTATAATTTCATTAGTGCACATTCTGTAGATTTAAAATTACCATTGTCATTTATTGTTTCTTCATTTATCAGATCTGTTGTTTTAGGTAAGAGCAATACTGTATGTACAGGTATTATTATAGGAAATTTCCATTAGGAATATATTCTATGTAAAAGGTACTTGCTCCATCTTTGATATTTTGTTGCATTGTAAGTAAGATTCGTTTATTGTATGTATCAGCATCAGAATCTGATAATGGTATGTTTAGAATATTCTTTATTTATTCGTTTCTTGTTTGTTTACAACTCTCCATAGTTTGTATAAAATATTATTAAGTCATTTTCTGATAGTTTCTTATTGTTAATAGATCTCAGTTTATCTGCTGTCAACGCCTCTTTATTGACACTAACCATGTCATTCGTTTATTGGTTCTTCTTTATTCTACCAAAACATTTTCTGTAATCTAAGGCATTGATAAACCAGGAAAATCCGTTTTTGATGAATTAAGAATTTTGTTTTTTTGGATTTTGTAGTCGCCATTCTAATATTTTTTTCCATCATTTTTTATTGGCCTAAACGTTGCAACGTCAATGTTGGATTTGGATACAAAGCTATTAGGATTATTTCTAATTTTGTGCAGAGTTCACTTATAATGTGTCATATGTGTTTGTGGATATATAATAATAAAATTACTGGATAATTATTCATTGGTTTAGAACATTTGTTCTAAAATATTAAAATATTAAAAGACATAAAATGCAAGTAACTCGTGTTTGTATTCAAAATATTTATGGTTTAACTTTTAAAAAAATTAAATTTTAGTAAAGTGGAATTGAACTTTACAGTGCCATTATTTCAGGGGTAGACAAATTTTGGTATGCATGACTTTTTAAATATTTAAAATCTTTGTCCTCGGCTATGCGGCCTAAAGATCGGGTCGCAAAAATGCGGCTACGAGCAGTTCGTAGCAAAGAACTATTCCCTGTATCATCGTTACGCACTCGGCGACATGCTTAAATATTAAATGGTTTTTCTTTTCTCCGAGAAAAGTTTGTTCCCGCAGAGTATACAACCACTTTTTACATGATCTAAAAACTTTACTTATAATGAAAATTTCGTCGTTAGGCCAAATTATACTGCGCGAGAAAGTCTAGAAAATTATCAACTTTTAACGTTTACTGCGTTAGTTTAAAGCGGTGTAAGAAATTTCATGTTTTGTGTTTGTGGTATAAGTAAGTATTTCTGCCGAAACTTTTTATAACTTTTAAAACGTAGGTGGAGTAAATTGTTCCTTAAAAAATATATGTTAAATATAAAAAATAGGTCTACTTTTTGCTACAAAACGGCATTTGAAAACGTATATTTTGGTTATGGGAGGGTGGGGAATGTTAAATTTACCTTTGGGTTACACATTTTTAAAAATACTATTGAGAGAACTATGTAATTTAAGATAAATAAAGTTAATTTAACCAACAAGTTTTTATGAACATAATAGGCCGTGATATACGGAGTGTCAAAGTTAATAATAATAATAATTCCGATATGTTTTGTGTTCTGCTGGTCAAAATTAATTATTTAATTAGGTTTCCGTAAGTAGGAGAGCATAAGGTACCAGAGGTTATATAATTTAAATTTAAATTACAGTCTGTAATGCCGCTATCAAAAATATATTTTAAACAGTTTAATTAAACTTTTAAGCCTTAAAAGCTTATTCACATCCACTTAATATGCGTAACTTAACTTAACTTAAGAAACCTACGTCTGTTAAGTTGTCTGTTTACATTAACTTAATACTCGCAAAGAACGCAATATAAAAGCACGCGTTTGATAAACGCCATTTTATACACGAATTTAATTTAGGCACGATCGAGCTTGCGAGCGAGTGCTTAAATTAATGAGTGTATAGAAAAGTTTATAAACGAGCTACATACTATACTTTTTCTACGACAAATACTAATTATTATCTTAAAAATATTTATAGAGCGCCATCTATGAAACAATAGGGGAATCTATATGTCACCGTCAAATGTCAAATCTTTATATTTTATAAACACAGATTATAAAGGTTTTAAATCGAAATGTATTTCTTGAAAATTGACAGTTTTTCACAGTGAAAGTAAAGAAAATGCTTTATGAGCACTTTACAGTGGAGTCCGTGCCCGAATTTAAGTTATAGTTTACTGCCGGCGAAATTAAAAGGTCAGTACAATGTTCATATAAACTTTTCAAATATTGGCGTTGAGAATCTATTTAATACTTATGTATTTTTGTATTGAGATAATAAAATAATTTTCACATTTAGTATTATTTTACAAAAAAGGCACTTTATTTTAACGATTGCATAACATTTGACAACTGTCAACTATCTTAAAACTAACTTCAGCCCGTGACTAAAGCGCCATAAAGTCAATGTGTATTTAAAAGGTCACTAAGTGTCATGGAAACATGTACGATAAAGGGCGTTTTTAAGGTGGGAGTAGAAAAAAATATTTTTAATAGTAGGTATATTGTAAAACGAGTGTGATACCGAATTATTTTGCCGCAAGACATCGAAGCGGAGTACCGCAATAGTACGAGTATCACAATAAGTAATTTTAATAGGAATTTTTCATACTACTTTGACTATTTTGATAATAATTTATAAATAAAATTGAATAAAATTAAAAAAAAAAACTAGTTGTTATGCTGCTAAGTTGGCACAAATGACGTGAAGCGAAATGTCAAAATTAAATGCTTTTACTACATTTGAATCCCCTATTATCAAAGCCCCTTAAATCCGTTTTGATGAAAAATGCAATAAAAAAATACTACCTATCAATTTGTGCATTCAAATGAATGAAAAATCCACGAAATGTATATATTAATTTTTTTAAATATTTGATACTTTTGCAACCATTTCTATGCACACATTGAGAGGTAGGAATATTTTAATGCATGTATCTCATTTTTATCAAAACGGATTTAAGGGGTTTTGATACTAGAGGATTCATTTACTTATTATAATTTTATTTACATTTTATGATAATCAAACCTATAATTTTAATAAAAAAGATGGGTTTTTAGGACATTGTTGAAACAAGATACATACACCTTGAAATAAAGGTTAACAGAGTTGCCAACAATCTGAAATTAAAAATACCCATAATCGATGCTTCTAAGAACATTTTAATAGCACTAAAAACGATGCTTCTAAAAGCTCTTAAAAGCATTAAAATAGACAAAATTTTTAATATAACCAAAATTTACAAAATTACCAAATATTACAGTTTTCAAATTTTCCAAAATTTTCAAGTAACTATATATAGTTTATATAAATAAATAAAAACTTTACGTTAAAAATAACAGTTTACATATAATTATTTTTAATTTAACTTGGCAATTATTATTTAAAATTTATTTAAATTTAAAAATCGGTAAAGCAGTTATAAC